GAGGCCTAGAAGTACGCACAGATAAGACCTGGTTTACTGATAGCACATTACAAAACGTACCAAGTAATCGTCCATCCAGACTCTCCCGCCCTATAAATCATACGATCCGATTTCACAGAAGAGAGAACTGAGGTTCAGAGATGGGAAAAGTCTGCCTCAGGGGCTCCCAGCTAGGAGGCAACAGGGTGAGGACTAGTGTGCGGGCATTTCTGACTCCAAAGCCAGGGTGTCTTGTCCCCGCCCCAATCTGCTGCCAGGTAAAAGATGGCAGGACTTGCCGAGGGAGCTGAAGGATGACGGCTGGAGGGGCCGATCCCCAATGATGAGCGAGGTAACAGTTCTCACAGTGGCTAAACAAAGAGCCCTTGCAGTCCGGCTGCCTGGGTTCGAGTCTTGTTCTGTCCCTTCTTAGTTCTGTGCCCTCAGGCAAGCCACTGGTCCTCCCTGAGCCTCAGTTTCCTCGTCTGTAAAATGGGGATGGTAATAATGTTGCCCACCTCGTTGTGTTGTTGGAGGGTTAAATTAGAAGCGTGTGGCACACAGCAAGCACAGTGAAAGTCTTGCCTCTTATTTGCTGGCACCTTGTACGACATTTGGTAGAGGCCTCCTGTCTCGTCTACTATTAATACTGCCTTTATAGCACTGCGTGTTCCGGAGCCTGGCCACCTGGGCTCTGCCACTTGCTAGCTGTGTGGTCTAGAGCTTAGAGGGAGACTGAAGGTCAGGCTCATGAAGTTTAAGCCTTGGGTCGCTCCCTTGCGAGGCCTTGTGCATCATTTTGTATTCATAATTTCCTATTATTTTTCTTAACGGGGTTCCCCAGTGTGGTATACGCTCTACTCACATCCTGCAAAATGTGGATCCGCCCCTGTGTGCGCAACACGCTCGGCCTCTCCGGTGTCTCAGTTTTCTCATCTGTTAAGTGGAAAGAGTGTTACGGTGCTGATGAAGTCAATGAATACGTTTAGGATGCTTGAAAAGTGCCTGGCACGTTGTTAATTCCCCGATAGCTGTCGGCTTCTCAAGTAAATCTCCAGCTGGTGAATATGCTAAGTGCTAGTAAATGTGCTTCGTGGTTTACATTGGTCATGTTATTTAATTATGCTTAATTGTCACAACAACCCCTCCCATTTTACAGGTGAGAAAACAGAGGCTCGGAGAGGTGAGGTCACAGAGCTTGGAACCCACATGGGTCTGATGCCAGGGCCATGCCCCTTAACTATTGCCCTGATACCTTCCTGTTTATGAGGGGCGCCTGGCAGCTGAACCTGAAGGACTCGGGTCACACCGCAGCCAGGCACTGCCTGCCAGGTCACTTGCAGGGAATCCATGAGGCCCCTGCCGGGGAAGAGCTCCCCATCCCCCCCAAGTCCAGCTGGGCCCCCCTGGCTCTGCCACACCTAGTGCCCTCGTCCCTCCTGCCCCCTAGAGCTTCCTCTTGAGCCCCTGTCACCAGAGGCCCTGGCCCAGGTGGGGCGGGGGCCAACGGGTGACAATGACCGATTTAGAAAGTAAAGTTGCTTCTCAAACAAATAAGAAAGAAGAGGAAAGAAAGAAATGGCCTGCCCGCTTCCTGCCCCACTCTCTCTCCCAGCACCTGGGGCCCAGCTGTGAGCTTTTCACTGCTTGTTTGTTCATCCTGCTCGAGGAGCCTCTTCTTAAAGCTCCAGGCCCCCTCCACAGGGGCGGCGGGATGACTGTGGAGCCAATGGAAATAAGCACCCTGCATGATTGTTGTATTGTCGCCGTCTAGAGTATTGTTTTGGACAACAATACCAATAATCATAACAATCTGGGTTTCCTGCAGTTGGCAGAGGGGGGGGGGTTATCGGCTTCGACTTGGGTGTGGCCGTCCTGGCTGCGATTTCTGAGGTGTGAAGGCCTACGCAGCTCATTAGCTCTCTCTGGGCCTCAGTTTCCTTGCCTGCAAAGTGGGAATGGGGGCATGGTGAGCGCCAGAGGAGGCAAGCAAGAGTGCGTACCAAGCAGGGCACGGCCGCTGCTCAGTCGGTTACCAAAGCCAGGGTCACCCAAGAGCACGACTTTAAGAGCCTCCCCAGCCGTGGTGGGAAAACTCGGTGGACTAGGAGGGGGTGATAACGCCTGTTGTGTTCTAGCCTCCGTTGTAAGGGCTTTATGTACAACAACTCACTTCATCCTCACCACGCCGCGTGCGTGCATACTGTCAGATGAAGACACCCAAGAGTGATTTGCCCAAGGTCAGTGCATCCGGCAGGTGCAGAGCCAGGACGAACCCAGCCTGTCCCGCTCCAAAACCGGCGCTCTTCTTAGGGGCATACGCTGCCCCGGGGGCGGGTCTGGCTGCATAGGGTCTGCTTTGCTGCGTCACCGTGGACAAGCCCTTTCCTTCTCAGCCTCAGTTCTTGATCTGCAAGCTGAACAGCCCACGGTACCTGCCTCCAGACAGCACACAGCCCTCAGGGGAAAGTCATGGTCAGATTTAGTGACAGTGTAGAGAAAGACAATGGATGAACATATCAGGGGCTCTGGAAGCCACGGCTGCCGCTGCCGTAATTATTATTAGTTTTAGAGTCACAGGCGAGAGTCAGCCTAGAGGATGCTGAGGGCCCTGCCCAGCTCTGCAAATCTAAATCCTGTGGTTGCAGCTGGGGAGTGACTCTAGGAGGCACCTGGTGAGAGGTGGCTCTACCCGTTGGGGCTAAAATAATCCCTGAGGCTGCCGCCATGCAATCTGCCACTCACCTGCCCTAATTAATGGCAAACTCACCAACCCTGCCTCTCCGCCTCACTCCCATCCCCCACGAGCTGTGTGGCCCTGGAGAAATCACTCGACCTCTCTGAGACAGGAAAAGGACATGACCCTGCAGAATTTTGATGGATTAGAGATAATGCAGACAGAGTACTCAGCACAGTGCCTGATGTGTGGTTGAGAAGAGGTGATGAGAACCTGAGTTTGGGGGCCGACCCGTGTTCCATTCCCGGCTACACCATTTCCTATTGTGTACCCTCGGGCAAGTTCCTTGCACTCCCTGAGCCTGGAAAATGGGTTAGCACAGCACCCAGCATACAGTAGTTGTTTACCTAACGATTGTGGTTGGTGGTGACCGTGTCTGGCCCTCTATAAAGATGTCCAGAGGCCTTCAAAGATCCCAGGGGTATAATGTTCTCCACAGTGCTGGGTTTCTCTGTTTGCCCCTCTAGAACTCCCCTCTGCCCTTCTCCATCCTGTTCTGTGCCCTGGCAGGTGAACTCTGGGGTGCCATCAATGGCCTCTTTTGCCCTCTGGTTCTGGTTGGGTGGGGCAGGAAGGCAGAGGGCAGGTGGAGAATGGGGCATAGTGATTCCCCCAGCCCCTTGCTACAGGGTTGCACGGGTTGGCTGTGTCCCTCACCCAAAGGCTCTGGCTCCTGGTAGGCGACCCCGTGCATACATCTCTGGCCCTGAGTCCGGGTCGCTTCTCCCTCTTCACCCTTCAGGCCGTGGGTGGTAACGGCTCCCCACTGTGGCCAGCCCTGGGATACTGCACCATCCCTCCCGGTCTCCCTGAATCCTGCCTGCGTCTTTGGTAATAGTCTCTTGATTAAACCCTCTTCAAACTTCTCAACTTGAGTGTATCATCTGTTTCCTGCCAAGGCCCTGCTCATGGTTTTAGTGTGACATGTATCCTGTTGTATTCGTCAAGGACTCCAGGTATGGTAGAATACAAAACTTCACCCTGGTTTCACATGTACATACGTATCCACTTGAGTAACTTTGGCTGAGTATCTGCTGTGTGCCAGGCCCCGTACAGGCAGCTGGGAGCAGAGATAAAGGAGCTAGAGCTCCTGACCCCAAGGAGTTCATGGACTAGATGGGGAGACAGACGCCTAAACAGACAACCACAATATTTGCTAAGAAGCCGTTATAGAAGCGTGTACAAACCCTGAGGCAAGAGAAACCCTCAAACTCTGAGGGAGGCTGAGAAGGCTGCATAGCAGAGGGACCTCCTCAAAGGTAAAAAAAATTCTTAATAACAAATTTTATCTAACCCAATATTTCAAGGTATTATCAATGTATAATATCACTTAAAAGTGATACAAAAATCCTTAAGAATTTTAACATTTTTTCCCCTAAGTCTTAAACAGCCCAGTGCGTCTTTTACATGCACGGCACGTCTCCGCTCGGCCGGTCCCCGTTTCAGGGGCTCAGGAGCCACAGGGGGCTGTTTCCCCCCACTTTACAGATGAGGAAGCAGAGACTCAGGAGTTAAGTCACTTGTCCGAGGTCCCACTCCCCGATGGGGGCATGATGTGAACCCACGTCTCTGTAGCTCCAAAGCCTGTCTCTTCCCGCTGCCCTGTTCTGTCTCTGGGCCAACCCCTGCTCCCCAGAGTGAAGACTTGGCCGAGGGCTAAAAAGTTAAAACTTCACCTGAGGTGAACTTCACCTCTGACCCCAAATCCTGTAATGTTTCTACGTCAGTTGAGTCCATGGGACAGAGTGGGGGAGGGTAACCCACCAAACTGGGTTCTGACCCCTGTTCGGTCTAGGGTCCCTGGGAGGGCGTGAAGATAGGCTGGCAGGAGAGAACTGGGGACCACTGGTGAGTTGTAAGAGTCTCTTGCCGGGGGAGCTGTTAATGGCTGGAAGGCACGGCCTGCGTTGGACTGGAGGTCTGCAGAGGTAACAGACTAGGCGCACCGGACGGTGCCAGCAGGTCAACTTGGCATCTTCGCCTCCACCACACTCAGCGGTTCCTCCCTAGGCAAAACACCATATCATCCAGAAACACCCACTCCTGAGTATGTAGGGTCACAGTGAATAAGTCACTGTCATTTTCACACCGATGCGGGGGAAATTTTGATGGGATGAAAAGGTAAGGCCTTCTCCTTCTTTTTAATATTTATTTATTTTTGAGAGACAGAGACAGAGCGTGAGTCAGGGAGAGGCAGAGAGAGAGGGAGACACAGAATCCGAAGCAGGATCCAGGCTCCGAGCTGTCAGCACAGGGCCCGACGCAGGACTCGAACCCACGAACTGTGAGATCATGACCTGAGCTCAAGTCGGATGCTTAACCGACTGAGCCACCCGGGCAGCCCGGTAAGGTCTTGTGATGGGCAGCTTATCCAGGCTCTCGTGTGGAGAGAGTCCTCGGAGGATTCTTAGACCCAAGTCTGTGCTTTGGAGGAGAAACCAGAGCCATGGAACGTTGGCTGCAAGTAGGGGAGGTCCCTGGCAAGCCCGGGGTGTGTGTGATGCTAAAAACCATGATCAGTAGCTGAGTATTCAACACCCACCAGTTCACTTTCATCAGCTGTCCACCTGCCGGTAGAATCATCATCCAACCATCCATCCATCCACTGTCCACTCCTCCAGCATCCATCTCCCAATTCCCTCATTCCCCCCTCTCCCCATTCACTCACCTCCCCCCAGTCCTGTCACCCCCCCCCCCATCCCTCACCATTGACTCTGCACCTGGTCCTGTGCTGGATGCTCAGTGTGCAACGAGTAAGACTGCGATCTTCCTTCAAACCCAGTGAGGCAGGCAGACGCTTCGTCTATGCGAGGGAGGTGAATGTGGTGGTGGAGGGTTCTAGGAGGTCTGAGATTTCAGACCTGGAAGACCTAGACAGGCATCAGAGTTAGTCCCGCGATGCTAAGTCTGGGAAACTGAGGTCTAGAGAGGAGATAAGACATGCCAAGTCACAGAGTCATGGGGGGGCGGGGGTGAGCTCAGGTCTCACTCCCATTTCCCTGTTCTTTCCGCCAGACTCTAGGCCCCACTTCCGCATCCATACTCAGCAACACTGGAGGCCAAACGCTCTCAACCCCTTAGTGCCTGGCACAGCCCTGGGCCTGGGGAAGGGGACCTTCCCTGTTGCCACGGCACACCTGCGCTGTCCCCACGGACAATCAGATTGGTAGAGCTTTCTCATGCTCTTCCCATCGTCCCACGGAAAACCCACCACAGTTCCGGAGGACTGGCATCACCACCCCTTTTTACAGAAAAGGGGACTCAGAGGGGGGAAGGGGCCTGCCTAGAGTCACACAGCTCGAGTGCAGCGGAGCCAGCATCCTGAGTCACCATTGTGAACCTGATCTGAGACACCAGGCGGCACCTCACATAGCCTTGAATGTTCTGGCCCCAGGCCGATGTTGTGCCATTGAAGTCAGGGGCTGCTGACAGGTAGGTTCGGCAGGGACTGGAACGTTGGGGGAAGGACCCCGAAAAGGAAACCCCGGAGACTGTTTTCACCTGGAAGGGCTCCGCCCCGCCCAGCAATGGAAAATGTGTGTCAGAGGAAGCCGCTGGCTGGGGATGGGGTAGGTGTGCGTGGGTGAGCATTTGGAGGGGCACAACAGGGGAGGGGCAGGATGTGCTGGGGTTGGTGGGCAAGGTCGGGGTGCCGGAGCGGGGCACGGGCTCTGCCCTCTGCCCACTGCCTTTTTCTCTCTGGTTCTCGCTTTCTTTCTCATGCTCTCAGAACTAACAATACAACTTTCACTTCCAGACAGATGGGCCGACTGTCCTATGAAAGCTGTCCCCACGCCCTACCTCCCAGATCCCCTTGGCCAATTCGCTCTGCTGGGTAGTTACCGCAGCAAGCATTTATTGAGCACCTGCTGCATGCTCAGATGTAGGGATGCAGGATGGCCTCTTCCCTGCCCAGAGAAGTGCACAACCTGGTGAAGACAGAAATATGATGAGACAGGTACAATACGTGGGTGACACAATCCCCTGGGGTGGGGGGTGGGGGAGGGGCGGTGGACAGAGAGGCCTTCTGGGAGACAGCACACCAAGCATAAGGGAGGTAATATAACTGCTCCTCCGTGTGCCAGATCAAAAGACTAAACCCTTTCAAGGCTTTTATGGCTTTCCATTCTCGGAAATAGGAACGGCTAGTATTCCCGTTTTACACGTGAGAAAGTTGAGGCGTTGAGACAAAAAGTTGCCCAAGGTGCCACTGCTGGACGCTGGGCAATGGGGGAGCCGGGATTCAAAACCAGGCACTCTGCTCTTAACCACTCTACCGAAGACAGGGAAGGGGGAACAGGTGGTGGTGGAGGCGGGGGGGGGGGGTAATAAGAGGAAGGGCCTGAGGAAATGGTGTATCGTGCTGATAGCAGAGGGCAAAGGGCAGAGATGAGAGGCTGGGAGCATGTGGGGCCCAGGCAAGGAGTCCCTCCAAGCGTTGCCCGGGCACTGGGGAGCTGTGGACACGTTTTGAACAAAGGAGTGGCATGGGCGTGTCTGTTCTAGAAAGGCCCCCGCCTTTCAAGTGGTGATCAGTGGGGGCAGTGGCCGAAGTTAAATGTGATTGATTTCAGCGTGTTATTCGTTCCCTAGGGCCATTGTGACAAGGTACCGCAAAGCCGGGGTTAAGATAACACGGACTTATTCACTCTCTGTTCTGGAGGTTCGAGGATTGAAATCGAGGTACCATCAGGGTCACCTTGTCTAAGACTCTGGGTAGAAACCTTCCTTGCCTCCACCTAGCTTCTGGTGGCCATCAGTCGGTGGCATTCCGTAGTGGTCAGCTCTATCACCCCCATCTCTGCCTCTGTCAACAACAGTGTTCCCCTTGTGTGGTTCTCTCCTCTTCTTAGGAGGACACCAGTCAGAGTGGACTAAGGGCCAACCCCGCTCCAATACGACCTCATCTTAAGTAATTCCTCTGCAGCAACCTTCTTCCGAAATAAGATCACATTCTGGGGTGCTGAGAGTTGAGGCTTCAACATAACTTTTGGGGGGACGTAACCCAACCTATAACAGATGTCCTTAAAGTGCTTGTCATATAGATAAATATCAAGTCTGGGGGAAAAAAATCCTATGCACATCTCACGTCACAGTTTGAGATTTAGGAAATTTGGCCTCAGCATGTCTGTCCCCCACACTAATACTTTGCCCTAGTGAGTACTAAATAAATGTTTGGGAAATACTTGACTTGTGGTCTCCTAAGGCTCCCAGGTCTTTCCTTAACAAGTTAGAGAAATAGAATAAAAGTCCCCAGAGAACAAAGTCAAGCTGCCCTCTGTCCTGGATTCCTGGCAGGCAGCAGCCCCACTGACCTGGGCACCCCCTTTCCTGCCTGCCTGGGCACCAGCTTGGGGAAATAGCCAGTCATGAGAAGGATGGAAAGGAGAGGCCTCAGCTCCCTTCCTCTCCGGATTAAGCAGACTCACTGTTCTCAGTCCTCTCCCTTGCCTCCCTATCCAAACAGGCTCAGACTACTCCATTGAGACAAGTATCCCTGCATTACTCTTGCTTCCCTGGCCCGGTTCAGGCCTTTCCCTTTACCACTGGGACTATTGTCCCCGGTCTTCGAACTGATTTCTCTGCTACCAGCACCAATTGGGTCATCCTAAATATGAATCTGATGACTTCTCTCACTGCTCTAAAACCTTCAGTGGCTCCCTATTGCTCTCAGAACAAAGTCCGGATGATTCCCTAGCTTACCATTTCAGACTTTGGACATGTTGGTCCCCAGGTAGCTATCCAGGCTCGTTCTTCACTACCTCCCTACATGTGCACTATCCTACAGGCAGGGGAGGTTCCAGAATTTCCATCTAAAAGAGACGGGGGGGGGGGGGGCACATTCTGGTTGGCAGGGGACACCATGGAGGCTTGTCTTTATAAGCAGGAATGCCTGAGCATGATGGTGCTTTCCTGTTTTCAGCATCTGCTCCTTGGGGTACACTGTCCCCTCTACAGGGAATCATCTCCCTACATCCCAGTTTTTCAACATGTGACTCAAAGGACCTCTTCACCCTGATCACATAACCAAAAGGACTTCTCCCCGATCTGCATACAGGGTATTTTGGTAGAACTTCATTATGAAGTTTATTCCAGTGCACCTTGTCCTGGCCACAGGTTGCACCTCCCTTCCCTTAGAGCTAGGTTCTAGCCCCAGGCCTGGGCTGAACAGAAGGAAGGGCAGGTGAGAAAAATGCCAGGGTAGAGACCTGGCTGCTGAAACACTTTGTCAGTGTTTGGCTGCATGACTCTAGGCCAGTCACCTCCCTTCCCTGGGTCCTTCTCAGGTCCTTCTCTGTAGGGTGGGGGGTGGGGGGAGGCATTCAAGGAGGGTGAAAGCATGAGCTAAGTTTCTCCCTCCACCCCAGGTCTGACCAGACCTCGGTTCTATGAACAGAAGCTTTTGGGGGTCCTTTATTTTGTATTAATTTACATATATTTGCATACGTGCTATAATAGGCACTGACTACATTTCATTCATAGAAAGAACTGATGTCATCTAATTGATGTCCAGGGACGGAAAAAAAACCCCCACTGGCTCATGGTTCTATCCAAATCTTACCAGTCAGAGGTCTTTAGTGATTAACCCTCCCACACCCTCCAGAGGAGTAACTGAGGCTCAGAAAGGGAAAGTGACGAGGCAAATGACACACAGTGAGTGTCAGGCTTCCTCCAGGCTTCCCAGAGTCCTCTGCCAGGGGATTGCCCCAGGCACCGGGTTCCTCTCTCCATGCAGGGTGCAGGGTCGAGGGGTGTGAGAGGAGGCTAGGCTTTCTCTGTAGGCCCTTCTCTGCACCCCAGAATAACAAAGCCTGCTAGCTTAACAGCCTCCGCAACCACCACAGGAAACCAAATTGTAGTAGAAAGTCAGATGGGAGTGGAAAATCTTCTCAGAGATGTGAGATCGTTGCTTTCACCTGTTCTAAAAATAACTCGGTTTATTAGAGATTGATAGATGACAAGATAACCCACAAGTTATTCCGCTGAGGCGGGGGAGAGGAGAGAGTTCCACCTGTTTGAACAACAGGGGAGTTTGGGGGGTGCTGTGGGGGATTGGCGAGATGGCTGGACCCTTCGAACTCAGTGTTCAGTGAAAGTTAGTTAGGGGGGTGGGCAGGTGCCCCTCGGAACACCAGGGCCAGGACGGAGGACACTGCCTTCAAGGATCCTAGTCCAAGGAGCAGGGAGACAGATAACAAAAGTTGACAAATAAAATAATTGCAAACCGGGAAAAGTGCTCCAAGAGAAACAAACAGTAGGGAGATGAAGAGGAACGGGCGAGACTGAAATGGTCAGGGAGACCTCCGGAAGGAGGGGGCCCTGAAGCTGGGACTGGACAGTGAGAAGGAATGAGTACAGCAAAGAATGGGGGGAAGGGCATCTCCAGGAGAGAGACCAGCATGTACAAAGGCCCAGAGGTAGAAAGGAGCTTGGCGGATCTGGAAGCTGGAAGACCAGTGCTGGACAGAGAGGGAAGGGGTGTGGACTTGTAGGAGGGGCTGGGAAGAGGGCAGGGCCAGGCCTGTGCTGGCTTGGGGGGCTTCTTAGGTTCATGGATTTGATTCCAGGTCAGTGGGAAGCCACTAAAGCGAAGTTTTCAGCAGTGGCATCAGGAGATGTGGTTTGCCTTTTAAGAAGCTTGTACTTGGGGCACCTGGTTAGCTCAGTCGGTAGAGCGCGCAACTCTTGATCTTGGGGCTGTGAGTTCGAGCCCCACATTGGGCACAGAGATTACTTGAGAAAAGAAGGAAGCTTGCCCTGTTGTGGGGAATAATGAGGGGAGGCTCAAGCAGCAAGGAGACCGGCCACGCAGTGGAAATGGCATCCGGTGGGAGGCCCGGTGGCCTGGACTAAGATGGGGAGAGAACTCAAGGGACTCAAAGTGGGTTTTGGAAATACATTTCACGGGAGCTACAGATGGGTTGGGCTGGAGGTGGGGTAGAGGGTAGAGAGAAAGAAGGCACTAGGAGGGCCACCCAGGCATCTGGCCTGAGCACCTGGTGGGTGGTAGTGTCATTTCCTGGGGGTGGGGAAACGCGCAGGCGGGAAGGGCAGGTGTGGGACTCCGGTTTGGGGGGTGTGAGGTTTGAAAAGCCTGGCGATCACCAAGAGAATCTGCCAGAAGGCAGCTCCAGAGGCCCTAGAGGCCTCGGGTCCTTCCACTGTTAATGAAGTCTTATCGGTGAGCTCCAGGGGACCAGGGGCCAGCTCTGCTTGGTTTTATAGCATCAGCACCTAGGAAGGTGCCTTGCACATAGTAGGTGCTCCACAAAAAGTTGGTGGATGCGGGATCATCAGCTAAAAGCAGCCTCCCAGGCATGGTGGGTGCTTCGTAAATATTGAAGGGATTCTCGGACCCCTCTTTTCTCACCCCTGCAGCCAGCCCATCGATGATTCCTGCAGCTTTGCCTTTCTCAGTGTTTCTCAAGCCAATCCCCTACTCCATTCCTACCACCGCTGCCCTAGTCCAGACCCTCAGCGTTTAGCTACATTTACTGCGAGCTGTGAGCACCTACTATGTGCCCGACACTGTGCTAGGCCCTTTAGGAGTATTTTTCTTACTTAACACCCCCCAAGGCGCAGGAAACCTTCCCTCCCTCTTACTACCCACAGCACCACTGCAACAGCCTCCTGTGTGATCTCCCCGTCTTCAGGCTCCACCCTTCCAATCCATCTGCCATCCCTCAACCAGGGCGGTTTGCAAAACTCAACATCTGCTCTGTCCCTCCGCTGCTTACAACCCTCTGCTTGTCTACAGCATCGTGACCCGACAGCTTAACGTGGCTGACAGGACCCGAGTTCCATCCCTGCCTCATCTGCCACTGTGCCTCCGGCTGAATCTTCCCTTCCCTTGCAGGTCCCTGGAGCATCCAGCGCTGCTTCTCACCCCCGTCCTTGCTCATGATGCGTCCTCTCCTGGCGGGGGCGGGAGGAGGTTCCTATTGCTACTTTGTTCACACTCATCATTTAAGGCTCAGCTCTTCTTCCCGTCTTCCTCAGCTCTGCTGCTGGCTAGGCTGCAGGTCCCTCAGGCCACCTTCTCCCCACTCTGTGTTGACTTCAGCAGCACCACTAATAAGAACTCTTTTTAATATGATAATTTGTCCCTTTAAAAAATTTTTTTAATGTTTATTTATTTTCGACAGAGAGAGAGAGACAGAGCATGAGTGGGGGTGGGGCAGAGAGAGAGGGAGACACAGAATCTGAAGCAGGCTCCAGGCTCCGAGCTGTCAGCAGAGAGCCGGATGCGGGGCTCAAACTCAAAGCCCGCGAGATCATGACCTGAGCCCAAGTCCAATGCTCAGCCGACTGAGGCCACCCAGACACCCTGATAGTTTGTCTTTTAATTAACGTATGGGATTATTTCCCACTCGTTAGGTCTGGTGGTTCCTGAGTCACAACTGAACAACGATCCCTGGGCAGCATTTCCCCATAGGGCAAGAGCAGTGGTCAGTGAGTCTACTCTTCTCCTGAGTTGGCTGTGATCTGAAATGAGTCGCTGTCTCCAGAGACTATATGGGTGTCAGTAGAACAGGGCTGAGGGGTCTTCGTCCCTTGCAAACCCTGGACTGTACCGAGGGGAAGAAGGCTCCAGGAGTTTATTCTCACGCAATGCCTTCTGATCCCAGTCCTCCCTCTGTCTTGGGGCTCAACGGGTTCTTCGAGTTTTCTTGTTCCCACCCAGGCAGAGGGGGAGCTGATGTCCAGTTGAGGGTTCTCCCTCCGCTAGGCAGGGGTCTACACCCGTATGGCCAGCGTGTGACCGGCCCAGCCAGCCCCTCCGACAGCGTGGTGCAGACCACACTAGGCAGTGGCCTAGCCCCTGGGAGCGAGAGCTCACCGCTGCCACGTTTCCAGATGTCACTGCCTGGTGGGGCCGCATGGCTGCCGCTCTCCGTGTGACGCTCCTGACCCTGTGGTTCAGGAGCTGCTTCAGCTTTATGCACGTGGCAGCTTTGGCTGGACCGATGGTGTGTGGTCCCACACTGCTGCAGGACAGCCAGACACCCATGCCCACTCAGCATCGGCTCAGCTCCGGGACCAGACTCCTGTCGTTCTGGGTGAAATGCAGATCCTATAATAATAATAATAATAATAATAACTTTTATTTATTGAGGCATATCATATAACATATACTATACTGAATGCTTTACAAATATCAAATAATTTGGGGCGCCTGGGTGGCTCAGTCGGTTGAGCGTCCGACTTCAGCTCTGGTCATGATCTCGCGGTTCGGGAGTTCAAGCCCCGCGTCAGGCTCTGTGCTGACAGCTCAGAGCCTGGAGCCTGCTTCGGATTCTGTGTCTCCCTCTCTCTCTGCCCCTCCCTTGTTTGTGCTCTGTCCCCCTCCCCTCAAAAATAAATAAACATTTAAAAATTAAAAAAAAAAAACAAGCATCAAATAATTTAATCCTGACCACAGTCTTATGAGGCGGGTAATTACTGGCCCCCATTTTGCACATTTAGGAAATTGGGGCACAGAGAGGTTAAGTGACTTGCCTACAGCTGCACACAGCGGGTAAATGACAGCACTGGGACATAGACCCAAGCAGGCTGGCATGCTCAACAGCTTTAACCGGTCACGTGACACGTGTCTGTTTGCTCGCCTGTCTCCCTTGAGAACAAGAACTGACTCTTGCTCTTCAACACTGGCACAGCGGCTGGCACACAGTAGGTGCTCCGTCAAGCCCCCCCCCCTCCTTAACAGGAGCCAGTTTGCAACAGGAGCCCTACATAGGGTAAGAGAGCCTGGGGCGGGGCGGGTAGAGGGGTAGAAAATGTGTTTCATTTTAGTGGCTTTTTGCAACCATCTATTCTACAAGATCACGTTCATTTTCACAACACTGCTGGGCGTGGATTATTAGACCCACCCGTCAGATGAGGAAACTGAGGCCCGAAGAGGCTGAGAAATTTGTCTGAGTCAGCTAGCTGAGAGTCGGTGGAGGTGGAAACCCAGGCCTCCTGACTCCAAGTCCAGTGCTCATTCTGCGCATCAGAATCGGGTCGGGGATGTTGCTGAACCTGAACCCTGTCCAAGGGGCATGGAGGCCCTGCCGAGTCCGGGGTCATTAATCACTCCCTCTCCCAGCATGAGGGAGCCTTTGGGGACCGAGGCTTTTTCCCTTCCTCTCAGCCCTCAGGGTCTAACACCTCGAAACTCTTCCTTGTCACAAAGCTCTGGCCCTCCCTCCCCCAAGTTGCCTCTAGTCCCAGGCCACTCCCCTCCCTGTCCCCCTCGAGGGTCCTGGTAAAAGCATCCGCTTGTCAGTGTAAATCTGCAGGGTTCAGACCAGCAGCTGGAGACGGATGGGCAGGAAGCAGGAACAATGGACGAAAGAGCCTCTGTGCCCAGGTGGGTGGGGGAGGGAGAGGCAGGAAGCAGCAGCCTCTCTCCTCTGCAGGCCTGGAGCCTGGCTGGCCGGAGGCCTGGGCTTCCAGAACCTCCGGGGTTTATTTGGATTCCCCAAGGATCCAAGCCGGGAGCCCTTCGCAAACATCAGACCAGCTCATCTCCGTGGGGCGCCCGGTCCAGGATGTGTGTGACAAGAATGTCCCTTTCATGCGTCTCTGTTTGTCCCTGGGGACTAGCACAGGGCCGGCTGCACAGTAGGGCAGGGGCTTGTCTGTTGCATGAAGAAATTAATCTGGCATTAACAATAAAGAATTGCAGAGTTTTCTTCTTTTAAAGTAACCTCCGTGTCCCACGTGGTGCTCGAACTTACAACCCTGTGATCAAGAGTCTGACTGAGCCAGCCCCTGATTTTCTTTTTTAAAAATATTTTTAAAACATCCACAATTTCCTCTTTCCCCTTCAACATTTTTGCACAGACTGTTCTTTCTGCCTGGCGTGCTCTTCCCTCCGCTTTTTGCAAGGTCAGCACCTTTTTAGCCTCCAGGTGCAGCTCAGATAAAGCTCTCCCATGAAGCTTTGAGGGCCCACTTTGACCCACACCCCTTGCTAAGGTAACCCCCATTCCCTGGCCCCGCTAATTCAGCACCCTGTTGATTTCCTAGGTGGCACTTATCTTAATACGGCATCTTCTCACTTACTATGTATCCTCTTTTTTTTTTTTTTTTTTTAATTATTCCCTGTCTCTCCCACAGAACTCATTCATTGTTGCATCCCCAAGGGGCAGGCACTTAGCGATGCTCCATAAATTGTTGTTAAATAGATCAAGAGATGACCAACTGAGTCCTGTAACGATGTCATTCACACCCCGTGCTCTGCAATCT